TATAAAAACTTGTACTTATGTGTGAAATTTCGTTTACCTAACTTAAACAGTACTCAATGTATGGTGTTCACGTGCAAATATAGAAAAATACCACTCGGTTTCCGAAAATCGTTCAAAATTTAATAGATACTTGCGCATACAATGTAATATTTATAAGTGAAATTTCGTACACCAAACTTAAACGGTACTCGGGTTATTGGCTTTTGTGAAACCGGAAGTACAGTATTTACCAATTACGGTTACCGAAAATCGCTCAAACGCTGATACAGAACTACAAATTCGATATAATACTTATATGTGAAATGTCAACAAAACTGAAACGGTACTCAAGTTATCGTGTTCAAAGACAGACACAAACATACAGACACACAAAGAGACCCACAGACAAACTAAGTTTTTTCGACTCAGTGAGATGTAGACCTTCGAGATTTGTCAAACTCTTCATTTCGATTTGTTTGCACGATTACTATAATTTCTCTAAACTTTGTATACGAAAAAGTAAAAAAAAAAAGGGAAAATTGCCTTGACATTTAATGTCCCAACGCCATGCCTCAATTGTTTGGAAAAAGTTATAAAACGTTGGTATTATAGACCTTTAAAAAAAGAAATTTGATTCTGACTATACATTTTGTGAGACAGCATTATTGCTGTTACGCTCTTTTCATCGTGTTCTTTCTGTCTCCAAGGCAACAGACTACGATCAATAAGTTTACATGTACATAATTAATGTTCAGTAGAAAACAAAATACCTCACTTAGCATGTGTGAGACTCCATACTTCGGTCAGTATGCGAAGGTGTGTGGATTAACATACATGAGATGTCCTTAAAACATTACCATGTGAGCCCCCCCCCCCCCCTCAGATCAGAGGAGTATTAGGGAGGGGGTGGGGTGGCGCCCATGATGTTTGCCTTAGGGTGGCACCGAACGGGGTAGAAAAAAAGTGTAAAACCTTATTGTGATCAGCAGAACTCACAGCCATACTGGCTTATTTAAATGTTCTCTACATCCGTTGTGTAACACCTAAATAAAACGAGTTCTGGGAAAGTTACTTGTAAAAAACGCCCCAATCTTATCATATCGGCGGGATGAGGGGGGGTGCTTTTTCGTCAACGTGGATAACTATATATAACATGGAAGGAAGCGAAATTGATAGTTCGTCCCATTAGTCTGTGTCCCCCTCCCTCCCTATGACCCGGATTAGCCCGTGCCCCCCATCACGTGACTAGGATTAACCTGTGTCCCCCCCCTCCCCCAGGATTAGCCTATGTGAAGCCTGTTATCTACTCCTAGTCGTGTCTCTTTGATCGCACCGACAGCGTGCTTTAGCCGACCCGATATCGATTTGATTTAAGTACGACCATAACGTATTGATTCAAATGTATTGACCTATTCAGCAGTTTTGTAAGGATATGAAGCACCAACTTAATCCTCATACATTCGGCACTCGGTATAAAAGGTTCGTGTAATTACCCAGACAAAACTTTTATACCGAAACACCTTCATAAATGCATGTTCAAAGATTTTCCAGGACACAGATATTAACACGAACAGTCGACAGCTGGGTTTAAAAAATAATCTATTTCTTTAGTGGCCCCCGCAATTACGTCTAGCTGGGTTTAAAAAATAATCTATTTCTTTAGTGGCCCCCGCAATTACGTCTAGCGCCAAAAATGGTAGGGAAATAAAAAACCTCTTGGGAATTATATTTAAAAATAGGATTCAATGATAGGAATTAACGAAATTAAAAGCAGTATATTACAGCAAGGGTTGTAACTTTGTATTTAAAGTTAACCCCATCCACATTACAAGCTAGCCAAAGATAGGGGTCGCTCGAGCTCCCACCCACATATGTAATAAGATGTTTCCAACTTCCACCAACATAAGTAACAAGGTGTTGCCGACTTTCTACCAACATAAGTAACAAGGTGTTGCCGACTTTCTACCCACATATGTAACAAGGTGTTGCCGACTTTCTACCCACATATGTAACAAGGTGTTGCCGACTTTCTACCCACATATGTAACAAGGTGTTGCCGACTTTCTACCCACATATGTAACAAGGTGTTGCCGACTTCCTACCAACATAAGTAACAAGGTGTTGCCGACTTTCTACCCACATATGTAACAATATGTTGCCGACTTCCATCCACGTATGTATTAGTTGTCAATCGAGATTTGAAACTTGCCGACTATTTTCCCCCATTTGGATATTTCTGGCTAGACTTTATTTTCAATTCTAAATCTAAAACTTGTGCAAGAAGAGAATGAACAATGCGACAAACCAAAACTTGTGCAAGAAGAGAATGAACAATGCGACAAACCAAAACTTGTGCAAGAAGAGAATGAACAATTCGACAGACCAAAACTTGTGCAAGAAGAGAATGAGCAATGCGACAGACCAAAACTTGTGCAAGAAGACAATGAACAATGCGACAGACTAAAACTTGTGCAAGAAGACAATGAACAATGCGACAGACTAAAACTTGTGCAAGAAGACAATGAACAATGCGACAGACCAAAACTTGTGCAAGAAGAGAATGAACAATACGACAGACCAAAACTTGTGCAAGAAGAGAATGAACAATGCGACAGACCAAAACTTGTGCAAGAAGAGAATGAACAATGCGACCAACCAAAACTTGTGCAAGAAGAGAATGAACAATGCGACAGATCAAAACTTGTGCAAAAAGAGAATGAACAATGCGACAGACCAAAACTTGTGCAAGAAGAGAATGAACAATGCGAAGGACCAAAACTTGTGCAAGAAGAGAATGAACAATGCGACAGAACAAAACTTGTGCAAGAAGAGAATGAACAATGCGACAAACTAAAACTTGTGCAAGAAGAGAATGAACAATGCGACAAACTAAAACTTGTGCAAGAAGAGAATGAACAATGCGACAGACTAAGGCTTGATAGATCGCCCATGACCGATCATATTACACTGCTCGTGTGCCATCAATGGACCGATAAGTTATTGATCGCCTTGATTATTTCAGGACAGATCGATGCCATCTATAATTACGAATGGATGTTTGAAATAAAATAGCACGCTTTGTACAACGCTGATGGCATTACTAGTAGGCCTACACGCCTTACAAGTTGTTTTTTTTCTTTATGTAAAACCAAGAGGCTTTACTTTCGGCGGATTATATATATATATATATATATATATATATATATATATATATATATATATATATATATATATATATATATATATATATATATATATATATATATATATATATATATATATATATATATATATAAGACCTGTAACAGTCATTATGACCTACTAATGTTTGTCACAAAGACCTACGACATTGATTATGACCTACTAATGTTTGTCACAAAGACCTATGACAGTGATAATGAGCTACTGTTTTCCTCAAACCCTACAACCGATAGCCCGACACGGCGTCTAGGAAACTATGGACGATGTTTCCCATTGATTAGCTCCGATACATTTGACGCTCGGATTTCACATAAAATAGGTCCACACTCATGACCTATGCATAGCGGCAATACGCGGGTAATCTACCGTGAATTAACCTATCATTGATACAAAACGTGTTCAAAAGGCATTTCCGTATAAAGCATGCATGACACTTTGCAACCAATATATCAACCAACTCGATTTAAATTCTGGGCTGGTGTTTTTCCAAACTCAGCTTATGATGAAATTAAAAGCGCCCCAAGTTAACAGGCATAAAATAGACCACATGAATTTCATGGTAAAATAAGCTACATAGTAGCCAGATCTAGAACCCACCCCAGACAAAAACTTGTGCTGTAGAATTACCAACTAAACATCCTAGCGCAAATGTGGGTGTATTTGGCACATTTTACAGCACCAAATATTTTATCATAGTGACATTTGATTGGAATCCTCACTGTCGTGGATCCAACTTGGAAGAATAGTCTGAATACGGTGGAGAGGTGTGGTTTATGCTTGTCAGTGGGTCCATGAGAATGAGAATGATGAAGATGACGTTAATCCTTGAATCACATTAGCAGTTTCTTAAAAGCATCTCCCAGGGGGGGGGGGGGGAGAGAGATACAATGCCCTTCAAAGCACGTCAATCTACCAACATATATATATATATATATATATATATATATATATATATATATATATATATATATATATATATATATATATATATATATATATATATATATATATATATATATGTGTGTGTGTGTGTATGTGTGTGTGTGATTTTCTTTACCTATAAATAAGTCAAACGTTTGCTTGTAGACGGTGGTAATGACGAGGGCGCGGGGGGGGGGGGGTTAACTCAAATATAGTAAGTAAAAGCCAGATTTTAAAAAAAAATAATAGTTAGGAACGGCTGTTGTAGACATAGATTACGATGCGGGAATTGGAGTCCTGTTACCTAATCATTCTTCAAATCCTAGAGAAATTTCAGTTTTATCCCTAATTGGGAAAACGATTTCCCGTTCCATTGATGTTATGAGAACTTTTTAAATTATGTTTATCTTTAACACTGAATTTCTTCAATACATTCGCGCATAGTTATAAACTTAAAACGAAAGGGGAATTTTATGTTCAGGCTACAAATCTACATAAATAATCACAATTTTAAAATATCGAAGTCTATGGGTCCTGACATCAGTAATGATGAAAGCTTTTAAGCCATATTAATTAGTACATAACTAATGGAGGTTGTGTAGGCCTGGAATTATAGAACAAAAATAACAAAATGTAGGCTGTACGTTGTCTTTAGGTAACTATTTATTGAAACCAAGGCCTACCAACAAAAGTGGTCAAAGGCACAATTTTTCAAAACAATTTTCGCATAAGGTTTTACTTTTAAAAACAAAAACATTTAAAATGAAAAATAAATAACGAATGCATGCTTAGACATGCTACGCTTGTTATACATTAAGTTTAAAATGGATAAACTTGGTATTTTTAGAGCCAAAATGTTTTTACAACAATTTCATAAGTTTCTGTATAAAGTCACTTACCTCCAATACAGACATGTTTTATTCCTTTAATCTGCCATTAAACGACATTTGTTTACCTTGGTGATTACTGCTCTAATTAAAGTCAAAGGTAGGCGGGTCCTGGCCAATATCTCGGAATCGTAGATATAAAAATAATCGACTACATATACTTGATGCTATATTTTAATGTTTGATTTTCTACAATTTATGTTATATGTATAATTAATAAATATATTAATTCTTCTTATATCAAGTGAATTAGTTTTGAAAAGTATCATTATTTGCATATAATTGATCTCTTACAGTAAATTAATTACGTACATAGTTAAAATTTAACTGTGATTTGGGCAAAGTCGACTACCTTGTTTATCGGCACATGCGCAAATCGGATCAAAACAGACATCCACTTCCTCTTAGAGGTTGTTACAGTTCTTGATTATTTTATTTATAAAATGTTTTTCTTTCTTACTAAAAAGAAAGATTGGAAATAAGAATTGACATTCCCTGTATCTAATAAATATAAGATTATACTTTAATTGATCTTTTAAAAGTGCACCCAATTAATATAAACATACTTATTAGTAAATATAGACGTACCTTCTAGATTCTAGATCTAGATCTCTAGATCTAGTTGTCACCGTACTGTTGTAGTGTAAGACGAGCTTTAGTAGTGAAAATTCAAAAAGATAAGGAAAAAATTAAAAATAAGCAAAAAGTAGAGAAATGCCATTCCCAAAACATTCAGATCATGAGGCTTAGTGAGTAATGAGTTTCAGTGAGTTAGTCATACCATTAGACTTAGAGCTACATACATTCTAAATAAAGAAACTTTAGGCCTACCTAAAATACTAAAAATACCTATTATTTAATTTAGCCTTAACCAAGTGTGACAAATAGATAATAAATAATAAGATGATAAGGCGTAGATCTAGGTCTACTGATCTATTCTATTCTAAGGTCTTATTTGCTAGATCTATTTATAGTAGGCTAGCAGTAGTATTTAGATCTAGAGTAATTAATACTAATTATTTACCAAACTAGTAAATTACTAAAGTATTAGTAAATAATAGCCTAGGCCTACTGCCTATAGTTAGTAAGTATATTTAAATTGTTAATTTTAGTATAATAATTAGGTTAAGTTTACTTAGTTTAAAGTTTAAGTCTAACTTAGTTGGCCTAGTAGATCTAATTATTACACTTAGAATCTAAGTCAAAGTGAAGTCAGATTTGAAAAATAAAAAAAATTTATGAGCACCATTATTTGCCAGTGTCTGCTAACTATTTAAATTATAATTATGTAGGCTATGCCCAAAATTCACACAAATTGTTTAAATTTGGGTAAAAATAGGCCTAATAACTAATATTTATAGAAATATTTAAACACTTTTTATTTAATTTACGTTATAGCCCCAGTGTAGGGATAGGCCTATAAAAAATTTCTTTTCTTAACATTTAATTCAGTTAACTATGATTAGGCCTGTTAACCCCATTTAGACGTTGGCTTATTATTATATTATATAGGCTACCTTACCAGTTGTAGTTTAGTAGTAGGTTATTAAAACTAAAAAACTATTGCTTTACTATGCCTAAAATCCAAAACTTTATAACCAAGTATGAAAAATGCCTGAAATAAGCATTTGGTTTAATAATTAAAATTATTATAATTGAACTTATCATAATTTGCTTAAACCTAGTTTAGTTAGGCGAATGAAAAAATTTGAATGAACTTTTTCATGATTTCAGGAGTGTCTGGATCTGTTTATTATCAATGCAGTAACAAGAAAAAGTTGGTGAAATGAGTGGTGCAGCGGAACGATCTCCTGGATCTGCACCACCATCACTGTCGTATCTTTCATCTAAATTCAAGATGTCAGGTTTAGATGTGAAACCAAAAATTTTATGTGGAAGGGAAAGACCAGTTTACAAACATGCACAGCACACGCATAAAGCATTTGAATCTTTGAATGAAATGAGGAGGTAAGCAGACTTAGATTATTTAAAAGCATCACTTTCTTGTGTCATTGATAATATTTTTAGAGTGAATTAAATCGTTAGTCCTTTGAATCTTTCTTAACTAGAGTTTGCATCCGGGCTGGCTAATAAAAGATAATACGATGATAGTCAAACACATGCAAAATGAGACACTGTTTCAGCATGATTAATATTAACTTTTTTTTTGCAACTTTATCGTTAAAACCCCTTTAAGGTTTTAGAACTTAAGATATGTCTTATTAAAAAATGATTGGAATATTAATTAATATTAATTAATTTGAATACAAGAAATAACAATTGCTATGTACTTGATTTTTAAGAATAAGTGAAGAAAGAATGAAATGGTTGTAACCTCTCTTTCACAGGATGGGACTGCTGTGTGATGTGTGCATTGTGGCAGGAGAGCTGGAACTACATTGCCATAAATCAGTCTTAGCCTCATGTAGCCAATACTTTTATGCCATGTTCACCAATGAGATGTCTGAATCAAAGATGAAATACATCAAACTACAAGAAATCGACCCAACTGCTCTGGCATTGCTCATTGATTTTGTTTACACTTCAGAAATTCATGTCACTGAAGATAATGTTCAAGTAAGAAATCAAACTTTTTCCAAGTGCCTATTTTACTCGTTAAACATTTCTCTATGTAGGCTTAATAATTATCTCCTTGGTAATTTCAAATTTTATTAAGTTCCAGTCTCAAAACTATTTTGAAAGCTCATTTGTATTTTATGTAAAAGTAATCTTTTTAGCCATGTAAAATTTCCGAAGAATTTTGGCATGTTATGTTATTACTTAAGTTGGAAAGAAATTACTCAAAACAAGGGAGACAAGTTAATTAACCTTTTTTTTTTAATACAGAAAACGTCATATTGATTTGATGTTTTCCTTTTTTTTTTACAGACACTACTACCTGCAGCCAATATTTTACAAATCACGGAAGTGCGGGATGCTTGTTGTGAATTCCTGCAAGCTCAGCTTCATCCATCCAATAGTTTAGGTATCCGCGACTTTGCAGATTTACACGCTTGCCAAGATCTCTATAACTATGCCCAGACCTACACAGAACAACATTTTACGTAAGTAATGTGATTTGATGGAGCAATACTCTGATATATTGGACCTTTAGTCTATTGAAATAATTTTTGTAGACTCTCAAACTTATTATTTTTCCCTACAGAGAGGTTGTGCACTATGATGAATTTTTGTCCATGGATGTGGAGTCTGTGTGTAAGCTAATCTCAAGTGATAGACTGACAGTCACCTCGGAGGAGCAGGTTAGTGGCTTAAAATGTTTTAAGCTAATCTCAAGTTATAGACTGTTACCTCGGAGTGAAAAATTGGAAAATTCTTAAGCTGAAATGTTAAAAATATTTGTACCCCAACTTCTGTTGATATATTGTAGATATTGATTCTTGATAAATGGAAATGTTGTATGGTGCCTTTTCAGATAGTACAAATTATGTTGCAGATCTGGCTGCTACAAATGTTGTATGTTGTGGGTGCTACAAATGTTGTATGTTACAGGTGTATGAAGCTGTGATGGTCTTGTTGCTACAAATGTTGTATGTTGTGGGTGCTACAAATGTTGTATGTTGCAGGTGTGAGGGCTACAAATGCTGTATGTTGTGGGTGCTACAAATGTTGTATGTTGTGGGTGCTACAAATGTTGTATGTTGCAGGTGTATGAAGCTGTCATGTCCTGGGTCCACCACAACCTACCCGCCAGACAATCCTGTGTGGAACAGCTTCTGGAGAATGTTCGCTTGCCGCTGATGAACCAGGAATACATTGTACAAAAAGTTGAAGAGGAACCTCTAGTGAAGGCAAACTCCAGGTCTCTTTCTTTTAGTACACTGGATGTGTACACTTGATTTTCCTTATTTAAAAGCAAAAAATGTGTACAAATTTATTCTAATCAGCAAGTCAATGAAACATTTTATCTTATTTTTAAACTATATCCATGTAAATGCATATATTCATGCAGCTTGTTTACTTCAAGATTTTATTTTACGTGTTTAAAAAACTAAGTTTATAGTTAATTTAAAATGATTATCCTGACACCACCCTGTTTTTTTTTAAAGTAAGAGTTAAGCCCCTTTTGTCATCGCTTTTATCAGAAAAAAAGCATAATTAATTATGTTTTAGTTGATGTGTTAAGTTTTATCTTACCTTGTAGGTGTAAGGATTACCTTATTGAAGCCATGAAGTATCATTTGCTGAAAACAGATCAAAAACCACTGTACAAAACTCCGAGGACTCAGCCTAGGAACCCTATTGGCCTGCCTAAAGTAATTAGTTTTTTTAATTCTTCTTTAACTGTTGTTACACTACTTTCTTCTATCCACAGACAGGGATTGGCTGTTTATCATTGACACATTAGTGTTGCTTTTGTAATTATAATAAAACATGTTTGTTACAACTTTATCCTATCCTATTGGAGTTTTCTTTCAAACATCTGCAGGTGCTACTTGTGATAGGGGGTCAGGCACCAAAAGCTATTAGAAGTGTAGAGTGCTACGACTTCCAGGAGGAGAGGTGGTACCAGTTAGCTGAGATGCCTTCACGCAGATGTAGATGTGGTAGGTACAGTAGATATAGATGTGGTAGGTACAGCAGATGTAGATGTGGTAGGTACAGCAGATGTAGATGTGGTAGGTACAGTAGATGTAGATGTGGTAGGTACAGTAGATATAGATGTGGTAGGTACAGCAGATGTAGATGTAGTAGGTACAGCAGATGTGGTTGGTTTAGCAATAATGGTAAGTAAAGAATGGTCTAGTCTAGTGAGCTTTCATGTATTTCTAGGTGTGGCAGTATTAAATGGTCTAGTCTATGCTGTGGGGGGATTCAACGGCTCCCTGCGTGTCAGAAGTATTGATGTGTATGACCCACTGAAAGACACCTGGAACTCATGCCCTAGTATGGAAGCAAGGAGAAGCACTCTGGGTGTTGCTGTGCTCAATGGCTACATCTACGCTGTTGGAGGATTTGATGGTGCTGCTGGTAGGAAGAATTGGTCTCTAACATTTCTTCTAGTGATTCATGTTGTCTTAAAAATTTAGATCTAAATACAATATAAAGTCTAGTTTTAAACTCAATAGAAAAAAATATGCAAATATATAATTGAATTTTTTCAGTTGGTTTGAAATTTCAATTACACTATTGGAAAATCAATAATGGTTATCCAAAATTTGAATGCAGACATTTGCCTTCCTATATTTTTTCTATAACCTTGTTAATTGAATGGATGTAAAGCCATCCAGCAAACAGTCTTTTCCTCCTGAAGTTGCTTCTTTATCATGTTTCATCTAGCTGTGATCTTTTTTTTTAATTACAGTTCAGTTTTTGTTCTAAAGTTAATACCAAATCTTGTAGAGCTGTTGGCCTGTACCAACATTGTCTACTTTTATGATATACAGTCTTTGTATCTCCACCTCACTACCTCTCACAGTGCAAACTTTTAACTTCGCCATCTTTTAATGAATACTCTCAGCATGACGTGATGAAAGTTTTTTTTTTAAATAAGTTAAATTTTTATTCAGTGCAACAATTCAAGTTTATTCACTTTCAGTTCATTTGTTTAACAAAACACACTGCACTTGTGCAACATTGTTTGTGTACCATCATTACAGTAGAGTTTGTTTGTTACTTGATCTGTTTGTTTGTTTGTTGTTAGGTCTTGACTCTGCTGAATATTTTGATGTTCTAGACATCACCATAAAGCTTGTGTGTTACTTGATCTGTATGTTTGTTTGTTGTCAGGTCTTGACTCGGCTGAATATTTTGATGTTCGAGCTGGGATGTGGAAAACTATGGCCAGTATGTCAACAAGAAGAAGTAGTGTGGGCGTCGGTGTTGTTGGAGGTCAGTTGTTGTTTTAATCTGACTCAGTGGAGGTTTTATGCTGACAAGCAAATTTTGTTTAAGGTACAGGATAGACAATATGAGCAGTTGGTCTAAAAATATCCTGTATTCCTAAAGTTTAGTTAGATAATATAATATGTTGGTCTAAAAATATTCCGTTACCCTAAAGTTTAATTAGACGATATAAGCATTTGGTCTAAAAATATTCTGTATTCATACAGTTTAGTTAGACGAAATAAGCAGTAGGTGTAAACATATTCTGTACAACTAAAGTTTAGTGTGATGCTGTAAAATGTTCTGTACAACTAAAGTTTAGTGTGATGCTGTAAAATGTTCTGTATCCCTAAGGTCTGCTGTATGCTGTTGGTGGGTATGACGGCGCCTCCAGGCAATGCCTTAGCTCTGTGGAGTGCTACAACCCTTTCTGTGACACCTGGTCCATCGTGGCAGAAATGTCTTGCAGGCGGAGTGGGGCAGGTGGGTTGTCACGTGCTAGTCCTGTTGTATGAGTGGGTTGTCACATACTAGTGCTATTGTATGGGTGGGTTGTCACATGCTAGTGCTGTTGTATGGGTGGGTTGTCACATACTAGTGCTATTGTATGGGTGGGTTGTCACACACTAGTGCTGTTGTATGGGTGGGTTGTCACATACTAGTGCTATTGTATGGGTGGGTTGTCACATGCTAGTGCTATTGTATGGGTGGGTTGTCACATACTAGTGCTATTGTATGGGTGGATTGTCACATACTAGTGCTATTGTATGGGTGGGTTGTCACATACTAGTGCTATTGTATGGGTGGGTTGTCACATACTAGTGCTATTGTATGGGTGGATTGTCACATACTAGTGCTATTGTATGGGTGGGTTGTCACATGCTAGTGCTATTGTATGGGTGGGTTGTCACATGCTAGTGCTGTCCTGTTGTATGGGTGGGTTGTCACATACTAGTGCTATTGTATGGGTGGGTTGTCACATACTAGTGCTATTGTATGGGTGGGTTGTCACATACTAGTGCTATTGTATGGGTGGGTTGTCACATACTAGTGCTATTGTATGGGTGGGTTGTCACATACTAGTGCTATTGTATGGGTGGGTTGTCACATGCTAGTGCTATTGTATGGGTGGGTTGTCACATACTAGTGCTATTGTATGGGTGGATTGTCACATACTAGTGCTATTGTATGGGTGGGTTGTCACATGCTAGTGCTATTGTATGGGTGGGTTGTCACATACTAGTGCTATTGTATGGGTGGGTTGTCACATACTAGTGCTATTGTATGGGTGGGTTGTCACATACTAGTGCTGTTCTGTTGTTTGATGGACTTATGTTGTTGTATGATTGATTAATATTGTTTGTTGGACCATTGCAGGAGTGGGTGTTGTAGATGGATTGTTTTATGATGGACTAAAGTTGTATGATGAACTAAAGTTGTATGATGGATCATTGCAGGAGTGGGTGTTGTAGATGGAATGTTGTACGCTGTGGGGGGCCATGATGGACCACTGGTGAGAAAAAGTGTAGAGGCCTACAACCCTGAAACCAATACCTGGATAGCTGTGGCAGACATGCATTTGAGCAGACGTAACGCAGGTGAGACATTAATCCGACCCTCACTATAGCAACTATTTTTGGATTTAACTGTTACTGAAACTTTACCCACCTTTTGAGGATTTGATCTTTACATTGTTCTCTTATTTTATTAAATCACTTCCCTAGATACTTGAAGATAAAACCATTCAATTTGTACATGATATTATGAAGTAAATGCCAACATAAATTCTGCTGATGTAGTTGTTTTCCCTCCATGAAGGTGTGGTCGCCAACTGTAATAAGCTGTATGTGGTGGGGGGAGACGACGGCTCCTCAAACTTGGGGTCAGTGGAGGTCTACGACCCTTCGACCAATAAATGGACACTGCTGCAGTCTAGCATGATGACTGGACGCTCTTATGCGGGGGTCACTGTTATAGAGCGACCCCTGATGTAGACACATGTGTCAGTTATACTGCGACCCCTCTAGTAATGTAGGGGTCACTGTTATAGAGCGACCCCTGATGTAGAGACAAACGTATCCTACAAATGGCATTGATTGTGCAATTCCTGGATATCAAGGCTCAGCCACTCAGATGTTTACAGGACTGACCATACAAGCTGTACAGGAGTCTTTAGATCAGTGGTTTGAAGTTAGCCACAAGTTGTTTAGCATGATAAGTTGTGAAGGAGTCTTTAGATCAGTGGTTTAAAGTTAGCCATAAGTTGTTTAGCATGAGTTGTGAAGGAGTCTTTGGATCAGTGATTCATAATGAGCCTATGTTGTAAGGCATGACAAGTTCTACAGTAGTCTTTTTCAGAGGTTTATAATCAGCCATATGTTGTAAAGCATGACATATTAATTCATAACTAACCAGGCACTGTCATTGGTCTATTTTTAGACCAGACGTATCTGTGTCTAGTAAATCATGAACTGACGTATTACATGTAGCAGCAACTGTAGCATACACTGTGCACTACTAACTACTAGTCTAGATGTTTTATTTTGTTTACATTAGTCTAAATAATAACAGTAGATGATTAGTTAATAAGCAGTTGCTTGAAACAGTCTTTGAACAATGCACTACCCCTGTGTCAGCATTGAATAGGTTGATGAAATATTGATCAAATATCCCGCATGCCCCAAGTTTAAATGTAAACACTAGCTCACTTTCATCTCATTTTAACATCAGCCATCTTGATGTAACCATAGCAACCACTTCAAGCCGAAGTAGGGCCTACTTTATTTCTAGTTTAACTAAGTTATTGAATGATTTTCATTCAAATAAACAGATTATTGATCAGTAATATTTGATCTAATTTTTCATTGTTCTAATGATTTGAGTTCATCAGACCAAGTGATTGTTTTATTTATCACATATGTGTACGCATGTTTTGTTTACATGACTTTGTATTTTACATTTCCATACATTATGGAGATTAGAAGTTTTGACACTTTTAGCTAGTCTTTCTAAAAAATTGATTTTGTTGTTCATGCTCTGCCATACAAAAATGTAAATTGTATTTTTTAAATATGTAAAAATAATTGTGGATTTGTTGGAATCACTGTGGGGTCCATATGTGAAACAAATGTGAATATGACTAAAACCTGTGGGTCCATTTTTTTTTTAAATGTGGATTTGGCAATGTGGGGTCCATTAAGTTTTTGTTGATTTTGTTTTGATTTGGTTGACCACCTGCGACCTACCAAAGGTCAAATTGTGTTTCCACATGGCAGACAAGTGTGCCATGTTGTTTACTGGATCTCTCTTGTTATCTGTTTCTCTTTCAGCTGTTGTGGCATCCAGTTAATAGAACACACACCAGTTTATTACAATCTATTTCTGAGGTTTTGGTGCAATATGTCAGGTCCCATTTTGTTATCAGTTTATAAATAGTTCAGTCTGCATAATTGATGTTTTTTTATTTGCCGGAGGAAGTGGTGTCAAAGGTTAATGAAAGACTTCTATAGAACAAATAATGTGCGCTGATGTAGATGCCGGTGTACTTTTGGCGGCTTATTGATAATTATGGGGGTTTTTTTATACCTGGGCTGTCTTTCTTTTGATGGGATTGGGTTGATCATTTAATAATCTTTTTTTTTTCTAATTTCATTTACTGTTTATGCTGTAAAAAGTCAAGTTTTTAAATTGAGTTTAAATAATTAAGAAAGATTAGAGCCACCTCTTGCAAAGAAAGTTTTATATCTTCAGTTGTGTGAATAGGCTTATCTCTTGGTTTATTTCTCCAGTTGTGTGAATAGGCTTATCTCTTGGTTTATTTCTTCAGTTGTGTGAATAGGCTTATCTCTTGGTTTGTTTATTCAGTTGTGTGAATAGGCTTATATCTTGGTTACACTTGTTATGTTGCTGTTGTTTGTAGCTTGTTGTTCAATATTTAGTCAGCAGCAATAACAACCTTGAGCATGCTGGGAAATTTTGTTTTTATGTTGAATGGGTCCAGCAGTTGGAGTGTAGGTGCCATTAGGATGTTGTTATTCTTGTTGGGGGGGGGGGCAGTGTCATCCAATAAATAAAACATTACTCATGGGGGGGGGGGGGGTATAAATAAGTGTGACTTTAAAATTTCTAGCATTTAAATAAACCTTTTGGTTAAATTAAAGCTTAGCACTTATTTCTCAATTTTGTAAAAAACAAACATTTAAAAATGCAATAAATATGAATTAATCAATGTACCTAATGTTGACCTGGGTTGACGAAAACTTACAATAGTGATTAGCAATTTTCTTTACAAAATCAGCCTGACTATAACTCAACTTATATTTGGCATATTACTTTTTTCTATTGTTGAGGTAAATAACTCAATTAATATTCTGATTAAAAATAAACAATTTTAGGTGGGGAAAAGGTCTGGCTTTTTGTGACAATGACAGGATGTGTAGGATTAAAATGTGTAAAAATGTATGGGAGACCCCTTGTGCATAATGTGTGAAACTGAACATTTTTAAAAACCCTAAATATTGGCCACATTTAATACCTTCATCTGTCATTATATTGTCTGCAGCATTACATGATAGGCAATCAAAATATGAAAAACTTTTCTACCATATTTTTTTATTTTCCTTTCATATGACTGGCATCTCTCCTCCATAGGTAAACATGTTTACTTTTTCTCTTTCCTCCATAGGTAAACATGTTTACTTTTTCTCCCCTCCATAGGTAAACATGTTTACTTTTTCTCTCTCCTCCATAGGTAAACATGTTTACTTTTTCTCTCTCCTCCATAGGTAAACATGTTTACTTTTTCTCTCCCCTCCATAGGTAAACATTTTACTTTTTCTCTCTCCTCCATAGGTAAACATGTTTACTTTTTCTCTCTCCTCCATAGGTAAACATGTTTACTTTTTCTCTCTCCTCCATAGGTAAACATCTTTACTTTTTCTTTCTCCTCCATAGGTAAACATCTTTACTTTCTCTCTAATCAAACATTTTAGTCTGGTGGACTGTCCACCCTACTTGCGCCAGTGTTTGGTGATCTTTTTTTCTGGGGTTACATTTTATTGGACACTGTGGGCTGTGGCACCTATAATATTGATACTGTGGCACCTGTAATCTTGATATTGTGGACTCTGGGACCTGTAGACTTGATACTGTGGATTGTGGCACCAGTAATCTTGATACTGTATACCAAGTCATTTGTTCTGAAGTAGATGAGCAACATTTAAATGTGCTCCATGCATGTTTGTGATGTGGACCATAGGTAGCCAATGTTTGAGTGAACTAGATCTGACCTGTACATGTGATCAATTGATTCCATTTGATTGAATGAAACGAACAATTTTTTTTTCAAATGACAGTGATAATATCCTAAAACTTGATTGTGTGTGATATAAGAATGGGTGTGATGTTGGGATGGGTGTGATGTTATGATGGGTGTGTTGTTAGGATGGTTGGGTCTCAATCAATGTTGTATTACACAACAGGATGATTTGTGTGATGTGTGCATAACATAATGATGGTGTGACAGTTTGTACAACATGTTTGTGACACGTACAACATAATTATTGTGTGACAGTTCGTACAACATAAAGATGGTGTGGCAGTTTGTACAACATAATGATGGTGTGGCAGTTTGTACAACATAAAGATGGTGTGGCAGCTTGTACAACATAATGATGGTGTGGCAGTTTGTATAACATAATGATGGTGTGACAGTTTGTACAACATGTTTGTGACACGTTGTACAACATAATTATTGTGTGACAGTTTGTACAACATAAAGATGGTGTGGCAGTTTGTACAACATAATGATGGTGAATGTTTGTACAACATAATGTTGGTGTGGCAGTTTGTACAACATAATGATGGTGTGGCAGTTTGTATAACATAATGATGGTGTGACAGTTTGTACAACATGTTTGTGACACGTTGTACAACATAATGATGTGACAGTTTGTATAACATAATGACGGTGTGTATCTATATACAAAATAACGTTGTGTATTTGTGTACAATATAATGTTAATGATAATCATTGTGAATATTTAATGGTCATTAATAAATGCTTCAGCTCAGCTAGCTCATGCTGTTTTCACTCAGTTTCTTTTCTTTGCTCTCAGTTTTTTAACAACCAGATGCTTACTTTTGTTTACAGATGTGATATTTTCTTTCAGCACTGGTTTATGATTGTGTGGGGTATATATTCATTATCTGGTTGTACCCGTGCCAAATTTTGGGTTTAGAGCTGTAACTCCACCTTCATCAAACAAAGTTCTGGTCATACATTGTCCATCCCACGTCCCTAACAGTACATTGTCTCCCCTTCGTCACTAGTAAAACATTGTCTCCCCTCCGTCACTAGTAAAACATTGTCTGTCCTTCGTCAGTAGTAAAACATTGTCTCCCCTCCGTCACTAGTAAACCATTGTCCTCCCCCCCCCCCCCCCGTCACTAGTAAAACATTGTCTCCCCTTCGTCACTTGTAAAACATTGTCTCCCCTTCGTCACTAGTAAAACATTGTCTCCCCTTCGTCACTAGTAAAACATTGTCTCCCCTTCGTCACTAGTAAAACATTGTCTCTCTGTCCGTCACTAGTAAAACATTGTCTCCCCTCCGTCACTAACAGCTGATGATTCTCTCCCCTGCATCACTCACACATAGCCATGTGTTGGCTACAAATGTTACTCATACTACTCTGGAGTCCGCCTCGGGACGGTGTGAGCAGCTTACTGTGGACAAGGCCAGAATCCTCCCCCTAATTTTTCGCTATATCATGACGGCTATAGTTTAGAAGCTCCAATCGTACAAACAAAAAATTATGATTCCCTTTATATTGAAGGAAATAGGCGAAATTGAAAAAAAAATTCGTTCTCTCTATATATACAATGTCTTCAGCTCCAACCAGAATGTTGGACGTTTAAAGTTTGACGTCAACCGTGCCCTCATTACCGGACTTCTGAAGCTGAGCTGCCGGTCTTCTACAACGACACATGGCCTTGAACTTGGGGTTACACATGGCCCTGAACTTAGGGCTACACATGGCCTTGAACTTGGGGTTACACATGTAGTAGATGGGGAAGTTGACGGAGGAGTTGACCAGTTCAAGCAGCTTCCTCAGGCTGTTGATGACCAGGTAGATGTTGCTGTACCTGTGGCCGAGGGCGAACTCGTGCACCACCTCACCGGTCAGGTTGGAGATGACCTTGGGCGTGTTGCTGACGATGTACACCACGGAGATGACCTTGGGCGTGTTGCTGACGATGTACACCACGGAGATGACCTTGGGCGTGTTGCTGACGATGTACACCACGGAGATGACCTTGGGCGTGTTGCTGACGATGTACACCACGGAGATGACCTTGGGCGTGTTGCTGACGATGTACACCACGGAGATGACCTTGGGCGTGTTGCTGACGATGTACACCACGGAGATGACCTTGGGCGTGTTGCTGACGATGTACACCACGGAGATGACCTTGGGCGTGTTGCTGACGATGTACACCACGGAGATGACCTTGGGCGTGTTGCTGACGATGTACACCACGGAGATGACCTTGGGCGTGTTGCTGACGATGTACACCACGGAGATGACCTTGGGCGTGTTGCTGACGATGTACACCACGGAGATGACCTTGGGCGTGTTGCTGACGATGTACACCACGGAGATGACCTTGGGCGTGTTGCTGACGATGTACATCACGGAGATGAGCCCCACCTGCCGGATGATGTTCAAGTCACGGCTGGTCAGCCTTTGGTACACGCTCGGCTTCGGTTTGCCGGATCCGGTTGATGTCTCGCCGGATCCGGTCGGCCGTGTGGGGTTGCTGCTGACAGATATCCTGCGGAATTTCGCCGTTTCTCGGAGAGTGGTTGCCATGACAACGACGCAGACGACAAGGACGATTTGTGTCGTGAAGGGGACCAGCATGTCGGCGATTGCCCAGACCATGTTTTTAATGAGCTCTCTATTTTTAGAAACCCACAAACTGGGTCGAGTGACGTTGTTGACGGGGTCAAAGGTCTCCACCAGGCCCATGTTGGCCAGCAGAGGCACGTAGCCCAGCAAGGTGAAGGCCACAAAGCCCAAGATGACACCCAGACATCTGCGCCGTGTGAAGGCGTGTTTGAACGTGAGCGGTCTGACCAGAGTTTCTTCCAGGCATCTCTTCGGGGGGGCTTAGCCCCCCCCCGAAAATTTTTTACCGCCCCCCCCCCCCCCGAACGAAATGAAATTTATATAATTTATATAGAAAATATATACTTTTAACAGTGTCCGCCCCCCCCCCCCCCCGAAGAAAGTTTACCGCCCCCCCGAAGATTTCAAGTGCCCCCCCCGGAGAAAAAAGTCTGGA